TGAGAAGTATTCGACTAAAATTTATATGGATCAAGAAATTAGGAACCTCGTAAGTGTGTAAGTGGCACACCCTGGCTGCATTGGAGGGGAGCATGCCCATGTCAAAGCACTGACTGTAGGGAGAAAGAAGGAGAAAGAGAGAGAAAAAGAGGAAGAGAGACAGACAGAGAAAGAGAGGAAGAGAGACAGAGAGAGAGAGAGACAGAGAAAGAGAGGAAGAGAGAGAAAGCGGCCAATCGAAAAAGGCATATCTACATTGTGTTTGTCTTTTCAAACAAAAAAATAAAAAAGTTATCAAGCAGTGTTGGTGAAAGAATGGTATGGCTAGGTGGTCGAGTCGTGGGAGGTTTTCCCAAAACTCTAACTCCAGGACTCGGGCCTAATTAACAGGACTGGGCTTTGTCCGAAACTAAGTGTCAGATCGAGTCCCAGATTCATTCATCTGACTCAGTGTCGACCTTGTTCATTATTGAATGAATTAAAATTTTCCTGAACTAAACCATTGCATGTCTCGTGGACCACATTACCCTTCCACACATGATGGGTCCCCAGGCAAACCAAAGAATATCATTGTTTTTAGTAAAAGAATATCAATAATTTTGTTATTCTGTAATCGGAGCTGTAAACTGTAAGGTAATATGCATTACAATGGCTGAATATATATGGGTAAAAGGAAGGAATGACCACTCACGCATCTAAATGAGCAGTTTTCACTGCACAATCAGCCTAGTCATTGTGACCCGAGGACGTCACCATCCCTACTGGACTGCTACATTTTAAAAAATTTGGACTATGGCCTGCAAAATTGACAAAAAACTGTATCTAATTTAATTGCTCTGTTCAACTGCAAATTTAAGACACTGATAGTAGTGGATAACTAGTGGACTGCACTGCAGTCACTGCAGCCAGAGGGAAGGTGTCCCGCCTACCACAGGGTTATATGTTTTGGCAGCTTTACCACAAACCATGCTAGTATAAAAAATCATAGTAGTATGATTTTTTTTTACAAAGACAGACTCAGAGATTGGATCATAGGTAATAATAATAATGATCAGTGAGCCTATTTTTTCATAGTCCGGGAGCCCAGAGATATTTGTTTCACATCTCGAGTACAAAAGGTTTGAGTCCTGGAATGTATGCATCTATGATTGGAGACCCCAAAAAGGCAATTCTTAAGTTCTGCAATTCTACACAGCAACCAGGGGGGGGGGTGCCACTAAAGACCCTTTAAATGTGACTTTTGATTTACAATTAGAGTACATCTTTCAAACTTGTCTTAAAATGTTCACTGTAGGAGTGGAAATCAGAATTCCCAATTCTCAAGTTTTCAATTTGTGTATTAGGTCGCTTAAAAACGACCTAATTAACGGTAATTAGCATTTTTAATTCACAATTTGAGTACATCCATGAAACATATGGCAATGTATTCCTTGGGTCATCCTAAATCAAGATCAGTCATTCTTAAGTATCCATTTCATGTATTAACCCACTCCAGAAAGCAAAATGTACACATTGACCCCGTCCCTGGCAAAGTGAGTGTTAATGCACAATTTGAGTACATCTTTCAAATCGGTGTGAAACTGTTCAGTAGATCATCATGAATCAAGAACAGCAATCCTCAAGTGTCCATTTCATGCATTAACTCGCTTAAGAATACAAAATGTACTCTTTGAGACCCACCCTTAGGAATGTGCCAATGCTATCCACACTAGCATAAAGGACAAGCATAGATTGTATACAGACACAATGTTTTATTTTCTTATGAATTACACGAAAATGTAATTTGTATGAATGAATCATGCTTTAAAATCAGATCACACATAGTAAGTCATGTAGTAAATTGGCGCCCTGGCTCTACCGTCTATCACATATAAATCTAAAATCTTGAAACGAAAAGCAATTCTAATTTAATAAATGTAAATTATATCAAAATTAAAATATGTGTATATATATGCACACACACACACACACACACACACACACACACACACACACACACACACACACATATATATATATATATATATATATATATATATATATATATATATGTATATGTATGTACATATGAGTGCGTGTTTGTATGTGTGTGTGTATTATTCATGTATGTATATGTATGTGTATGTATATGTATATGTTCATATACACACTCAGACACATATATATATGTGTGTATATACATATATACACATATATATGTTTATATACATATATATGTATTTATATATATATACATATATATATATATATTATATATATATATATATATATATATATATATATATATATATATATACTCTGTCATAAGTATACATTAATAAAAAAGTGTGAAAGAATAGATGAAATAATATATAATTCAAATTCCCTCTAAAGGTAACATATATGTACCCAACTTAGAAAAAAAAATCCTATTGACGAGTTGCTTACAATGTTTCAATCATTTTATATATCCACTATATTAAAAATTGTATTGAACAGGATTCGGAACAAGATTTTGCCA